AAAAAAAAAAAAAAAAAAAAAAAAAAAAAAGGTGTTAGCGCTTGCTGATTGCTGGGAAACTGGGGTTCCCTCTTTATTTCTGCTGCCTTCAAGCATCCAGATCTAAGGCCAGAAAGGGGGGAAGCACAAGAGGGATTCAATCACATTTTAACTCCTGCCTTTATCCTCTTACTTTAAACACACACTCTCAATAGATTCTTCTCTGTTTTTACTAGTGTATGAGAATAGGGAGACAGTTTCTGTGCTGGGATTTCAAAGTGCATTTTCAGCCAAGCGATTTGTGAGTGAACCGTCATTAACTATGGCAGATAATGAAGACAGAACCCAAATCATCAGATCTCACCATCCTGTGCTCTGTTCTGAAAATGGTGTTTCTTTGCTGGCATCTCTCTGTCCTTAAAAGATCTTTTCCAACAATTTATTTCTGTAGCATTGACCAGCTAAGATACATAGAGAATTTGTTTTTCTAAGGGTAATTACAGCCTTGTGGAGGAACCAAGGCTTTCCTTTATTTAATTAGAGAAAAATAATTTTAAACCTTTTATTTTGTTACGTACTTTCCAATAACTAGGGATTAATAAAAGAAAACAAGAACAGAATGGATCCATTAAGATTTTCCACAACCATACCACCACAAGAAGGATGTAGCTGAATTTATTTTTTAATATAATTTATTGTCAAATTGGCTTATATACAACACCAGTGATATAGCTGAATTTAGATGCCTCATTTGCCCTCTAAATTATTTTCACCTTGCTAAGCAAAATAATAATAATAATCATTAAAATATTACTTATCAAGCCTTCATTTCTAGTACTGAGCTTACAATGTTAAGAATGTAAACACACCTAACAAGAAAATAAGTAAAAGCTAGCTACAGAGAATAATATGACTTTTAATACTGGGGGAACCCAGGAGCCAATAGCAGGAACCAAAACTTCCCAGTGGTGTTTAGATTATCTTACTATTTTTGAAAAAGTGAAGGAAAAAAACACCAAGAACTACAACTTTTAAAAAATTCTCTAAAGGCACCACACCCTGTATGACCTTAAAAAAAGGGGGGTGGGGGGGTTACAGAATTTGGCAAACTACATTATATCCTGAAACCTACACCCTCAACCCAATAAAAATTGCTTTAAAACAGCAAAGAGGAAAATAAATGATTGTTTATTTTGCACACATTTCAAGAATATGCTATCCAACAGCATAAGTGTTTTAGATGATATTTTGTTAAAAAGTCAAAGTTTTAAATTATAATGTGAAAATATTGCTCAATTCACTTTCTGGTAATGATTTGAAGTCATCCTAGCCAGAAAACACTTCATTCCTAGGACTAAGCTAAGTTTTCAAAATTTAAAATTCAAAGACAAAGTATTAAACATGTCTCAATAAATAGAAAGCTATTTGAACATAAATATGCAACTGTATTTTCTTTTCTTAATTTATAGAATGATAACTGTGTTCATATCTTCACTAAAGAGTCAGGGTTCCAACACTGATGGTTCTGTTGTTGTTGAGACACATAGGAAGACATTGATGTTACCCTATGATTTTAAAAGTTTACCAAAGGCCATATTATTTGCTTTTAGAAACACATATTTGACTTGGAACTAGAATTCTGACCAAAATTATAATCTTTAAATGTCCTAAGAAGCCTAATGTGTTAAAATTGAGACAGACCCAAGTGGACTTTGAAAGTGTGTATAAGGTCCATTTCTGTGAGACCAATTTCTAGACTTTCACCATGCAGAATTGGCATAATGGGCAGGGAACCAAAGAACTCCAGGCAGTAGGAAAGGGGAGAGGTAGAAAGGACAAAAGCCCCGTGGCAGATTCTAGAAAGAAAAGCAGAGTGGTAGGTGAAGGGACTCTTATTATCCAAAGTATATATTACCCAATCTCTGCAGTTCACTAGGTTGCACAGGGAATCAAAGTCATGGAAATATGGAAATATTCACCAGTGAACCGATCACTTACAAAATTAGTCCCCTCTCAAACATTCCTTGCTGCCCAATATTAGCATCTAGGTAGGCCCAGTATGTTAACATCTTTGTTAGTTAGTCTCTGGTCAATTCATCAACCTTGTAAACATCTGAAAATGCAATGTAAATACAATGCACATTCAATCCACGGTGCAATATTGATTTTGTAAAAGATTCAGAATTTCATAAAATGGATGCAAGTGATGTTGTAAGAAGTAGGAGAATGATGGGCTTTTTTGACAAATAAAGCCCCGGATGAGTTACTCCAGTGGACAAGTGAAGGAAAGAGCTAAAGAAGATTGCTGACCAACAGTCCCTTCAAAAAAGAGTGATTTTTTAATGCCCAAGTATCAAAGAGAAGCCCATGAGAAAAATGAAGAAGCCCTATGATAAGTTTTCAAAAGTGATTTTCACTACATCATAGTGCTCTGAAAGTCAAGAGTGAAAGAAAAGATGTTTGTATTTTGCTAGAATGCATTTTGCAGGGAAAATTATACTCAAAAAACCCCCACATTTATTCATTCTTCGTTCATTATGAGAATTGGCACACAGTTGCAAATATAAAGGAAATGTTGAATTTTCTGTTCCATTTTTGAAGATAAACTCCTGAACAATTTTTCAGTATCTACTATGAAAATTTGGAGCCTGTGTCAAGTAAATTTTAAGTGGCTTTTTCCAGTATAGTTAATCTCAGATATGGGCACTCTCCAATTATCTTGAAAGATGCCTGAACAACAATCCAGGGCAGTCATTAGATTGAAGGGGGCAGGGTGAGAGAGGAGAGAATGAGGGGCTGGACTCTATCCTTGGATCCCTCCTGTTGTTCTTTGAGGCACAACCCACATCTAGAACTTGGGTATAGTCTGTGCTTCCTTAAAAGTGACCCTCCAGGGGCGCCTGGGTGGCGTAGTCGGTTAAGCGTCCGACTTCAGCCAGGTCACGATCTCGCGGTCCGTGAGTTCGAGCCCCGCGTCAGGCTCTGGGCTGATGGCTCAGAGCCTGGAGCCTGTTTCCGATTCTGTGTCTCCCTCTCTCTCTGCCCCTCCCCCGTTCATGCTCTGTCTCTCTCTGTCCCAAAAATAAATAAACGTTGAAAAAAAAAAAAAGTGACCCTCCAGCTGTACCACATGGAGCTCTAGCCTTGTAAGTGCTACAAATGTATAAAAGAAATGAAAAGTATCTGGAAAGCAATTTGTGTGAAAATTCTTTTATGCAGTCCTAGTGACAATGCAATGTTCATGATATTTCCATAACATCTGTAGTTCTGCAAAACTGCCAAACTGGAATTTCCCCACTTCCTTTGTCTAAGAAAATATAGAAGTATAGACTTATGATATTAATACTTTAGTGATGCAAGTGCCTCTTCTGAATTCACCTTTTTGGATACTATCAACATTTAGGAACTCCCCATAATCTTTGAATTCTTGTGCACAGACCCATCAGTAAATATTCTTGTGAAGGAGGCTTTTTAGAATTAAATATAGGTTTAATGTTTTTTGATATTTGTCAACATAAGCTATGAAGTAGACCTCCCCACTTCTTCCCAAGAATAAAACATTGGAGGCAAATTGTGTTGGTTAGGCTTTTTAGCTACAAACAACTGAGTCCATTCTGGCTAGCTCAAGCCATAAAAAGGATGGATGCATTTTTAAATAGAAGGTAGTTTACATTACCTTTAAGAGAATTGAAGAAATTATGTCAAGGCTAATGACCAAAGCCTGGCTTCCAAAATGGCCCATTGAGAAATCAGTTGCCATTGCTGCTACCAAGACTAAGCAATAAATGCAAGTACTCTAACTTATTGCAATTCTGATGACTGTGAGCACATCAGATGCATTTCTGCCCTGGGAAACTCACCTTTGCAACACTCCTACCCCAAAGGCGAGATAACTATGCTGCCACCTACAGAAGGAAAGCTCATCACAGACCCTCTTTCCTCAAGTTTATTTCTTAAATCCAAAGTCTCATGCAAGTGTATATGCATGGTAATGTCT